TTATTCTATGTAAGGTTATTCAATTTCTTGTAATTTATGTAAATTCTGAAGCTCCCATCTTTTTTCTTTACAAATAATATTGGAGCTCACCATGGCAAGGAACTTGGTCTGATAAACCCTTTATCTAACAGTTCATGTAATTAACTTTTTAACTCCTATAACTCCTTGACTGCCATTCTATAGGGTGCCATTGCCACTGGTTCTATACCGAGTAACAATTCAATAGTAAAATCTTACTATCTTTCTGGTGGTAATCCTCACAAATCATCTACAAATATCTATGGATATTTTTTGATTATATGTATATCTTTCAACTCTTTAACTTTCTTATATGTATCCCTTATTTGAGCAAGAAAATACTGACACCCTTTAGATACAAACTTTTAAGTTTTCATATAAGTGATTATAATTGAAGTAATTTCTTTATCTCCATAAAGTTTACACTCTCTTTCTCCTAAAAAATTAAATTTAATAATTTTCCTATTACAATCTATGATCACGAAATGATTTGATAATCAATCCATTCCCAATATCATATCAAACTCTTACAATGGTAAAACATTCACTATTGCTTTAAACTCTCTTTCATTTATTTTAAAAGTCAATTAACATATACCATTAATATTCATAATAGACCCATTTGGCATCAAAAATTCTAAGGTGGTATTTGTTTCATAAACATTTAACCCAACCAATTTAATAAATTTCTCTGAAATGAAGGAGTGTGAAGCTCCTTTATCAAAGAGAATTTGTATGGGCTTTTCTTGAATTGTTATCATACCTATAAAATTTTCTTAGGAGTTAACATTAACATATTATTTCTTCATTTTTTTATATTACTTGCTTATTCATTTTACTTGTTTAATCACATGTAATCACGTCAGGTGTGTCCTTTGCATCCTTCTAAATCAGTGTATATACTTTAGGTTGAGTATTCTGACGACCTTGACTTGGACTTGGAGTTGAAGCAACTAATTTTATTATTCTTGGTCATCTAAACTTTTTAGGAGGCCCAATATTCATCCTTAATTCTCCTGTTGGTCTTTTCCCCAAAGTAGGATAGTTCTTGGCTATATTACCAAGTTGATGACACCAAAAATAAGTGTTTGTACCAGATAGACATTCTCCCTTATGTTGCTTTTCACACTTGTTATAATTATTCATGCTCATTTTATTGTCACTACTATTGAACTTTGTCTTTTTTTTTTTTAATTAAACTTCATAGCTTGTGAAAGGTATAATCTATATGAATCCCTCATCTTGTTCAATTTAGTCAATCATGGGGGCTCTTTTTTGGATAATTTTGATGATTTGAGTGCATCAACATAGTTTTTTTCATGAAACAAATGACATTTGAATATTTTGTATGCAAAAAATATATTTTGAAGTGGTTTCGCATGACAATATGTTTCTTAGCATGCCATTTTCATCACGTCTATTTGAGTCAACTTGTGTAATAGTTACAAAGGTTAATAATTGATTGTGATCATGGGCTGCAAAGTCAACATGCATCGAATTACTTAGGTCATACTAGTTGTGAGATTATAGTCAGATGATGGTGATTAATAAATAGTAATATGGTGGTGGTTAGGAGACCATAATTAAGTAGCATTTATCAATAAGCCCTAATTGGGAGATGTTAGTTTGAAAGATCATAGCTAATCAATAGTGGCCATGAGATTATATTTGATCAATACTTGTAGGTACTATAATTGAGTGTCAGTGCTCAGGAGATCATAATCAATGCAATAGTCGGGATATCATAGTTAGGTGATGGTGGGTCATAGTTAGGGGACCATAATTAAGAAATAATGGCTGAATAGTAATGGTTGGATGGTTGTGTTTCACTGGTGATGGTTGAATTGTGATGATTCAATGATGATGGTTAGAAAATGGTGGTTTAATGATAATTTTATCAATATAATGGTTTAACGATATTAGTTTAATTGTAATGGTCAAACAACAATTATTTGAAGAAGATGGTTTAATGGTGGCAACCTAACGGTAATGCTTAAGCAGTAGTAGTCTGATAGTGATGATAATGTTGTGACTGCTTGATAGTATTGGTCAAGATATGGTAGTTTGATAAGATTGGTCAGGTGGTGATGGTTAGACAGTGATGGGCCATCGATGGTGGTTTGAGATATGTAGTCAATCGAAAGTAATTAAAGTGGTCAGGCGATGATAATTTGATGGTGGTCGACCAATAATGGTTGAGCAGTGGTGGATTGAGTATTATGGTTAGTCAATAATAATGCATTAATCAGGTTTAAGTGGTGGTGGAAAATGACAATGTTCATATGATGGTGGGCTAACACCAGTAGTTGGGTGATGGCAATCTAATAATGAAAATTGGGCAATGGTAGCTGAACAATAATGATTCATTGATGGTCTAACACTGGTGGTTAGACAATAGTGGTTTGATAGTGGCTGGGTAGTGATGGAAGGATGGTGGCAATCTGATGACAGTGTTCAAGTGGCAGTAGTCTGATTTTGGTGGTGTGATAGTGACAGTCCAATAGCGGGAATCAAATGGCGATGATATGATGGTGATGGTTGTTTGATGGCAGTGGTTTGACAACATAGCTCTCTCTAATTTTAAGTTAATGTTTAAGCCCCATTCCCAACTCTCAGTCCCCCCTTATGTAGAGAATGAGGGCTAATTTATAAATTTTACAAGTGTCATTCTTTGTAAACATACCTAAAGCCTATAACATTCTAGGGGATAAACCATTTTAATTCCTTTTATCATAAGAAATATTTTAAAGTTTGAGTGCTTTATACTATTAAAACTAAGCAATCTTAGGCTCATTAGATTTTTTTTGTCGAGATGCTCAATTTGAATATAGACATGCAAGATTTGGAGGTGTCATTTTGCCCTCTAATTAATGTTATGAAGTTTTCAATTGCTCTTCAAGTTCTTGAATATAGACATGCAAGATTTGGATGTGTCATTTTGCCATTCTTGATAATGATGGACCATATATAATAATAATATTTAATTATAAATTACAACTATAAGTAATAGTTTTAGTGTAGTTTATATTATTATCTATAATTCAATCCTCTTATATATAGTTATATATTGAATTATTATTACATACATAATAATAAAATAAATATGATAATGAAATATTATATCAAATAAAAATATTTGTATATGCTAATGTGTCTTTAAATATTTAATTCTAAAGAAAATATATAACAATAATATTGCTTCATGACACATTCCCTAAAATTATAAGCCTAGGTTTTCAAATAAAAAACAACGTAAGGAAATCTCCCAGAATACATTTGCTTCTTTCTATTTTTTAATAAATCTCCCACATTAATACATTTGCTTCTTTTTATTTTTTAATCAATTTAATGTTATAGGAATTTTATAATGGTATTATATTGAGCGGCCAAACGAGAACTACAAAACAAATTGAGTGATAAAATATGGTTTAGTCATACAATATGATCCAAATATCATATGGTACAATTATTTTAAATAGCAAAAAATTATAAAAACCTATATCTATTTAGTTATAATATGTATACATTAATTGCCTTCTTAATTTTATGGCTTAATTAAATTAATTTAGAAAGTGATTGTACAATATTATGTGCGTCATAGTATCTGATTTGTTCAAAATTTACATTAATCTAATTAAGAAAATAACCTTCTATTGATAATTAATTTGAACTTAGGCCTAATTATATAGTACGAGTACTCAAATGAATGTAATATATAATTACTGTCTCAACTTATATCTTCTTGTTATTTGGATTATCCATGACTTACTTGATGCTTGACTCTTGATTTCTTTGTCTTATCTTTAGCATTTTGACCCACAATCTGGCTTATGTCATATTTAGTTTCAGGTTCACACAACATATTTTTATTTCATTCTCATATACATCTACATTTGTTAGTTCTAAACTGTAATAAGTATATTAGTCTAGAAAATAATATAATTATTGATTAAGCCAAACCATATTTGTGATAAAAATATATACATAATGAGTTTTTGACTTTTTGTGATAAAAATATATACATAATGAGTTATGACTCAGTCACTGAGTCAATAAAAATATATTTTTTTTTCTCAAAAAACAAATAATAAGCATATTTTTCCTACAAACTGTTTTATGTGATATATAGAATTTTTTTTTTATATAAAATTTAAATAAGGATTCATACCCAAAATTGTTTCATTTTTAATGTTACTTTGCTTCGATAATTATTCATTTCCATCGAATTAAAAAAATAAAATCCTTAAAAGTTCAATTTAGTAGTCTCCGCTAGGGGTGGAAACTAGTCGACTTGAGCTCGAGTGATGTTTAACTCGAGCTCAGTTCGTTGGATGGATCACGATCTCGAACTCGAGCTTGACTCGAGCTCAAATGGCTTGCTCGAGCTTGGCTAGCGACGATGGATGTGAGTCGCGAGCAGCTCATGAGGCCTTAGGCTTTCTTTCCGTTATGATAGGGGCGGATCCAGCTCTTTATTTAGGGTGGGCAAAAAAAAAAAATTATGAGGGATGGGCAAATATACTTAGGATTGATAAAAGTAGGGCAAAAAATTTTTTTTAAGGGGGGCAAAATGTCAAAATACCAAAAATATTTCAAAATCTCCCATCTAAATATTTAAAAAAAAAAAATCGAGGGTGGGCATTTGCCCATCCTAAGCCATGGGTGGATCTGCCCATGGTTATGATCCTGCTTCCGCGTTTGCGGTTCCACACAACAACTCCCTAGCTTCCACTTTCACGCTTGCTCTGCCTCTTTCATGTTCGAGCTGGTTGATGAGTAATCGAGCTGAGTTTCATCTTGATATAACTCGAGCACCATAATCGAATGAGCTTGAAATCTGTTTGAGGTTGAGCTCAAAATTTGATAAACTCAGCTCACACACTCATTTAGGATTGAGCTTGAACAAGATCTGACTGGACTTGTTTGCACTCTAGTCTCCACGTTGCTATAAATAATAAAATAAGAAATTCAATATTAAACCTACCCCTATCTCTAACCTCTTCAGATCTCTGTTTGCGCGTTCAGCATTTCCCTATGCCTCGCCGGCAGATCCTCGGAATGCAGCCAAGTACGTTCACAGCCGCCTAGTGCCGCCGCAGAATATTTCAGCTTCGATGGGCTCCGCATCGTCGTCGCAATTGCACGGTGAGGACGACGAAGACCAAGAAGACGAGGAGGAACGGAATCCCCGAGCTATTAAGCCTTCGAAGGAGAAGGTTCTTGAACAAGAGCCAGAGATCCTTCCCTGCTACGCCTCCGCTTCTCCTCTCTCTCCGCAGCTCTCCACCGCCGGCACTCCCCGCCTTCTCGGCTCCTCTATTAAAGTTTGGGATCCCTGCAATGTCCTTCTTCCTCCCGCCGTATTCTCCCGTGGATTCGACGCTGTTGCTGGCGGCGTTGAACTAATGAGGGAGGTGGTGTTGATTAATCATGGTGAGTGTGGAGCGAGTCTGAGGCCGGATCTCGTTGGTGGTCGGTGGCCTACAGCGGGATTAACCGGGAATGGGGAACGGCAGGCGCGAGCGCTTGCTGTGTTTCTCAATTCGCAGGGAGTGAGGTTCACTGCAGTCTATTGCTCGCCTTTAGATCGAGCGAGAGCAACAGCAGTCTTCGTTTGTCGGGTTTGTCAATGATTTATAAGCTTAACTCTTTTATTTTTAGCCACTTCCTTCATACATTTTGGATAAATTTTCTTCAAATTGATCTTTGTAATGAGGCATGAAGGTCTATGCCTGCTACTTGGTTATTCTACGTACTTGGATTACTAAACTTATAAATTTTGAAATTCGTGAAATGGGCATCTCAGCTTCTGAGGAGGTGGTCATGTGGTAGTGTTGGCTAGCTGAGTTTCTGGAAGGGGTCTTGTTTATCTTATTCTCGCAGAGTATAATTCATATCATGCATCTTGCTACTTCTACAGGCGCGGAGAAACGAATAACAGTGCTAAACCTAAGGGATAGTCTCTCAACAGTTGGGCTATAGAAAAATTGAAAATCAGATTTCCTTCTATCTCTCGAACTTAGCTTGTTGAGGCTTCATTTTCTTGGAAAAAGCTCCAAAGAAACTGAAAATTGGAAAATAATAGAAACGCAGCGATAAAACAAAAAGCCCCTATTTCCGGGCATTGGGCAAGGATTCGATGAATGAAACTAAGATGGGGTGGCCATGTATTTATAAACGAGGTTGGAGGTACTATTATTGTGAAATATTTGGTTGGTGTATAATGTATATCATGATCTGGTAATCTAGGTTGCATCACTTAGCTTTGATAAGCATTCCAAAAGAGCCATTAACTGATGTTCCATTGAGGACATTCATGACCTGCTTAACAAGGATTATCATGCATGTTGAGGTAGTGAATTGGGTGGTGACAATTAATCCCCTGAATCAATCCATTTGGTTTGAACCAAACTGTGCAATCATATAATAGTTTTATTTGAAGCTTTTTTTGGTTCAGGATTTTGTAGTCCTGGTCATCAGTCGTTCCTGTGCCTTCCATTAATCTAGGATTGAGATGGAGGTTAATGAAAAACTTTCTCTCAGCCATAGATAGTGAGAGTTTGTATGTTTCAAAGATCAAAGCTATGGGTGGCCTTGATCTTGAAGCACCAGTTTTTATTTCGTAACGATATGGTTAGTCTTGAATATGGAATTGAAAATTTGAAGTTAAACATAAAATATGGATCTAGTAGGGTTTAAAATCGGGTCTTCTCAATTGAAAATTTGAAATAGGCTTTCTTTATTATATTATAAATCGGCAAAAAGAAAGCATGAGTGATGGAGGAGTAATTATGGAGACTGGAGACTAGAGAGATTGCATTTGAGAGATGACTGAGAATACACATAATTAAAGATGATTGAATAAGCTTTGCCTAGATGGAGAAAACCTTTCTTAAGTTGGTTTGTTTTTTATTCTCTCTTGCATCTTCGCATTTCTTTATGTCCTTGCTTCACTTGCCTCTTGATCTTTTTGTTGCCTTGATTTGTCCTTAATGCTTCCTCCCTTCTTCTGCTTGAATTAGCACCCAAATCTCTTCCTCCTTCCACCCTTTCTCAGATAGAAAGTGTTTAGAGAGTGGCTTCTTAAAGGGAGTGGCTTAGGATGTTTGACACTTGTAAGTAAAAAGGCCTCTTGGCTGACAAGAGAAATAGAAGGGGAGAATGGAGTGAGACGTTCAAGATTCAATGGAGTAGCCTAGGCGTAAGAAGGCCTTGCATTCATCCTTAATTGAATTAAATTCGAATTAATTTAGCTTAGGCACATGCTGGTATTTATAGGCTGCTAAATATGTAAGATAAACATAATAAAATTTGGAGAACAATAAGGCCAATGTCATTATCGCATGAATGAGATAAGTTTGTAGATAGGACAATCCCCTTGATATTCTTCTTTGTTTGCGTATACTATATGGTAAATAAAAATTGAGGGAGAACTTGAAATGGGTATGGGCTATGGGAATGCTCTATTTTGAAACAGTATTCTCTCTTATTTTTATTATTTAAAATTTTAAAAAGGTAGGGAAAGTAAAAATGACTGAGAAAGTATCATATCCACGTAGTGGGATAAAGGCTTGATGTTGTTGTTGTTGTTGTAGGGAAAGTATCATATCTAATGATTTCAAATCTTGGAAAGGAGAAAATATTTAATCTAAGGAAAGCGCATTATTTGAAGGAGCTAAAGAACACTGGCTGTTTAAGGTGTGGTGGAACTAATAATTATTTTCAAATCATTTTTAAAATCAACATAGTCTTTAAATTAAATTTTCTTCTTTGTTGATTTATTTGACTTATGATATCAAAAGTATAACTTATAAAGCCATTTATTTCAGATTTTTATAAAGAAGAAAAGATGAAAAAAAAAAAAAAAATTAATGGCTTTTGTAGTATGGTTGTATGTGAATGAAATATAAGCCATGAAAAACAATAAAGGTGATTCACATTATGGGATTTCTATCTTGTTTAGATTAAGTCTTACTAGTTGTTGAACAAATTCCAACTAATAAAATTCTCTCCCCTTCTTTTTTCACTTAGCCAACCCCTTGACATTGGAGGAAATTGTCGGATTTAAAAGTCAGATTCTTCCTGAACTGAATGTAGTCCATCTTTGTTGATTTACTTGACTTCTGGTATCAAAAGTATGATTATTAAAATATTATTTCAGATTTAAAGAAGTTAATATGAAAAAAAGCATATGGGCCCAACTAATCAACCTAATTCCAATAATGGGGGTCAGTCTAGCTGGTGAGCGAAAGAGCCCTATGGGCCCCATTAGCGTGTGCCGCGGGCAAGGAGAGAAGGGGGCTAAAGGGGGATTAATTCTACCTTTAATTACTTACCATAAAAAACCAAAATTAGGAGGGAATTAGGAAGGTTTATTTAGGAAAGGAGGGTTGATTTTAATTCAGATTTGGAGAGAATTAAGAAGATTTATTTAAAAAAAGTGGGCTGATTTGAATTCGGATTGGGAGGGATTAGGAAGGTTTATTTATAATTAATTAGGTTGTTTTATTTTCATTATGGGATCTTGTGTTTTACAGTAATTTTCTTTTGAGTTGTTCCTAGCGGTGCCTAGGGTTTATGGAGAGTTGATCTACCTCTCGAATAGTAGATTAACTCGTATAATGGTTTGTTGTGCCAATAACAATAAAATTAGTCCATAATCTCATTCTTTCTTGCTGATGTCTGCTATGTTTTCTCTTCGTTATTGCTGTTTTTTTGGCTGTGGGAGATCGAATTCCTATCAAATTGGTATAAGAGCACCTTTTTTGGGACCTATGACGGCTAAGAAGGTTGATGTGTTGGAGGAGAGGCTTGATGAAGAAGTTGAAAATTTGAAATTTGACTTCGGAGAGTGAATTTCAGCAATTGAGAGCATATTTTTAAATTTGGAAGAGATGATAAAAAAGATGTTAAAGTTTCAAGCAAGGATGAAATCATTAGAGGCAACGACATCATTGACCAGACAAGTGGGAAAACTTGTAATGTAGGGATGATGAGGGAGGATTGGTTGGTGAAATTTTTTGGGGAAGAAGAGATGTCACCTTTAGAGCCACTTCCAAGGAGGGGAATGGGTGAAGGTTATGGTTGGAGAAGAAATTAGGACCATGAGGATCAAAGAGCTGATCTGGTATAGAGGAAGCATGGAGGGATCAAAACACCCATTACACTAGAGGAAGACATAATTGGGGCGGTGGCAATCCTAGGGGGAGAATGCTAAAAATGGCAGTTTTTTAGAGAGAAGATGCTCATTGGTGGATTCATTGGGTGGAGCGATATTTTGCTGTGAATGGGTTGACAGAAGATAAAAAGCTCACACCGCTCTATGTTTGGAGTGGAAGGCTCTGTCCTGGTACCAGTGGGGAGCCTTGCAGATTCGATCCGATCATGGAAGGAGTTCAAAGACCATCTACTAGAATGTTTCCAAACTAGTCGGGAAGGAGACTTCTATGAACAGTTCTTTGCTCTGAGAGAAGTTAAAGTACTTCTCAAGCCGACTAGGAAGGTTGTCAGAGATTGTGCTAGAGAGGAACCTTATGAAGGGCTCAAGCTTGATATTCGAGCAGCTGTTCGAGTACTGAGACCACGTGGATTATGGGAGGCTATTAACTTAGCCCAGCTAGTAGAGGATAAGAACTACTTGGAGAGGAGTAGCGATAGTAGCAGTTCGGGAGTATCCAACTGCAAGACCGCTGCATTTCTGGTACCAAAGGTGTAGACATTACCTATTCAGAAGGAAGTCCTGAGGGATAAAGGCCAGGGAGTAAGACCAGAGGAACTTTAAGAGGTTGATTGAGTCAAAAATTCAGGAGAAGAGGACCAAGGGTTATGCTTTAGGTGTGATGAGAAGTTCATTCTTGGCCACCGTTATAAGGACTATTCGTTATAGGTCCTAACAGTCTGCAATGAGGAGGAAGATGTTGCAAAGGAGGAAAGAGAGACGGAAGATGATCAACTGCACTTAGATGTTGTAGAGGTATCCCTTACCGCAGTGATCGAATTCACACTGAACCACAACATGAAGGTTAAGGGGATGATCGGGCATCAGGAGGTAGTAGTATTGGTGGATAGTAGAACTACCAACAACATCATTTCCAACAAGATGGTGGATTAGTTGGGATTGAAATTAGTGGACATTGGGGAGGAGTTTGCAAGGGGGTGATCCTAATCCTTCCAGAGGTTCAGGTATTTGAAGACTTTTTGCCATTGAGGAGTAGAGGAGTTTGCAAGGGGGTGATCCTAATCCTTCCAGAGGTTCAGGTATTTGAAGACTTTTTGCCATTGGATTTGAGGAGCATAGATGTCATATTAGAAATGAAATGGCTGCAGAAGTTGGGGAAGACCAAGATTGATTGGAAGGCTTTAATGATGGAGTTCAAGGTTAAGAGGAGGAGAGTGGTTATTAGAGATGATCATAGCCTATCCAAAATTATGGTTTCACTCAAAACTATGGTGAGGGTAATCCAGGATGAAGGAGTAGGATTTTTGGTGGAGCTGTATAGTTTGGAAGGAGAAGATGATGGGGAGAAGGTAGAAGCAACATACATGATTTAGCCACTCCTATAATATTATCGAGAGGTGTTCCAGCCAATTCAGGGGTTGCCTCCTCCACAGGAACACGAGCA